GCCGGGTCAAATGATACATAAAGGACCCCTCCACATGTATATATATATATATATACATATGTATGTGTGTGTGTATATGTATGAATGTTTATATCCCCTTTAAGATATACGAGGCTCTGTGTTATGGTTTGAGGTACATTCCTTGGTTAAGGAATATTGACTCCGTGAGCACCCACGGGTCGTCGTTGTTCAAGAAAGGAGGGCCCAGGGTCCCTGAAAGCTTCAGCCCTTTTTTGAACCCAGGCTCTTTGCTATCAGCTGGGGGGCAGGCATGACAACTGTACGCCTGTCTGGAGACTTGGGCAGGTAAACAACTCTCAAGGACAAAAGCTTCAGCCCTAAACCCACAACCCTTAATCCTGAAAGAGGAAGATACCCATCTTATGTTAGGGTTTAAGGCTTAGGGTTTGGGGCTTAGGACCTAAGCCCTTCATTCTGAAAAAGGAATATACCCATCTTATGTTAGGGCTTAGGGCTGAGGGTTTGGGGCTTAGGACTCCTGATAAAGGAAGATACCCGTTCTATGTTGGGTTTAGGGTTTAGGGTTTAGGGTTTAGGGTTTAGGGTTTAGGGTTTAGGGTTTAGGGTTTAGGGTTTAGGGTTTAGGGTTAGGGTTTCTACCAGAAGCTAAGAGGCATTTTAAGGTTTCGGGTTAAGGGACCCTGGGCTGAGCCTCTGGGAACCCTGAAAAGCCGAAGCCCTCAACCAGCACCCCTCTCATAGAGACCTTCTGGTCCTTAGTTTTTAGGGTTTAGGGTTTAGGGTTTAGGGTTTAGGGTTTAGGGTTTAGGGGTTTAGGGTTTAGGGTTTAGGGTATTTGGGGTATGATAGAGGGCAGCTGCGGGGTCTAGGAACCCGAAATCTTAAACCCTAAACATACACTCTTTTTCCAGCGGCCACCGCGGGAAGTGCATAACTTTCAAAATGCGAGCTGCTGCCTCGGACTCTAGAGATCGACGACATCCCTGAACTGTACCGCTGATAGGGTTTAGGCTTCAGGCGTCAAGGGTTTGAGGGGTTTGGATGCTTAAGCTGTAAAGTTTGAATGCAGGATGTATTCTGGCGAAGGCGGCTACGGTGGACACACGACTAGCAGGTGGGAAGCTCAGCTAGCGCCACCAGCTACATTGGATCTCTGCTGTGGCAGACGCGAGAGTCCGTCCACACCGACTGCCACTAACATGTAAGGCTTCGCGCGCAGTAACAATAACAGGGTAATCATGAGGACAGTACCCTAAGCCCGCCACCCTAAACCCTGAACCCTAAACTTTGAACCCCAAGCCCTAAACCCTGAACCCTAAACCCTAAACCCCGAAACTCCAACCCTAAACCCTAAACCCTGAACCGTTCTTGGTCGCAGAAGGGAGCCAAAAGGAGATCATAGGCGACCCTGAGCCGACCTCTACCCGTGCCGAGACCTCAAACCGAAGACCCTAAACATAAAGCCCTAAGGAATAAACGCCAAACCCTAAATCCCCTGATACAACAAACACACGAACTCTTAGGGAACCCTTCAAGGGGCCTTTAAAGGAACCCCGAAACAAGGAACCCAGCCTTGCCAGAGCCAGTCCAACAGTCAAAGTGGCCCGTTTAGGGTTTAGGGTTCAGGTTTTAGGGTTTAGGGTTTAGGGTTAAGGGGGGTTGCCTCTATCCCCAAACCCTGCGACATTGTACGTTATGACACCTTAATTATAGGGTCTGACCCTTAAAACGGTAGGTTTTTGGATGCCCAGGTAGGACGTAGGAATTTAGGGCTTTGGGGTTCAAAGCTTCGGACTGTTTTGGGATTTAGGATATAAAGGCTATAGGGTTTAGGCTTTACAATTTAGGGTTTAGGGCTTCTGCTGGCATCGTCCCAGACATTACCAGTCCGCCCGCAACCCTGAACCCTCAACTCAAGTCGCCGGAACTCGTGAACTTTCTCTACACTAGCAAAGCGGCCGGTGAGGAATGCTGATGGAGACTTTGCAGTGTCAGGTTGAGGGTTGGAGTTTCGAGTTTTACGGTTTAGGGTTTAGCGGTTTAGGTTTCGGGTTTTGGGTGTTAAGTTTCAAGCTGAGTTTTAGGGGTTTGTGGCACACAGGAGAGGGACACGGAAGAATGTGCCGCCGAGCAATCCTACTCTTTGCCACTCAGCTTGTCTTGTCCTTGTCCTGCTCTATGTCGTCTGGGACCTCGCGTGCCCCAAACCCAGTGAGGAGCAATGTATTCACATCTTTCGAGCGGCAATGACCACGAAGAAGTCTCAACATCAGCCCCGACATCACCATCACATCGCTGCTGGGGTCATCTTGACTTCAACCCCTGGACCCTAAACCCTAAACTCAGCGAGTAAGGGATCCCCGGACCCACCCATTATAAGCCCCAAGAACCCTAAACCCTAAACCCTAAACCCTAAACCCTAAACCCTAAACCCTAAACCCTAAACCCTAAACCCTAAACCCTGTTTCTGTTATAAGCCCTAACTAATCGGATCCTTGTTCTCAGGATCCCTGCGCAAGGAACCCGAGCTTTCTAAACTTCCAAGCTGGCAATGACCACCCACGTGATCACGGCAGTGAATACTGGGGTTTAGGGTTTAGGGTTTAGGGTTTAGGGTTTAGGGTAATACTGGGTTCTTGTTAAGGAATTTAATTTAAGTTACCATAATAGGGATCTATAGCAAATGCTTAATATGGTTTCTGAATTATGGTAACTTAGATTAAATCTCTTAACAAGAATTCAGCAGTTTCCGGACATGCCCATACATGCAAGAAGTGACGTGTTGCGGGCTAGCTTAGGGATCATGGTCCTCCTTCTTCGCATCCTCCATGGACCAGAAGAAGAACATCCTTGTCAGGCATGCAAACGATAAAGCTCTAGGCAAAGCGCAGTGCCGCAGACCACATTCGCCGGCCGAATTCCGAGCTGGACTTTGGAAATTGCGCTTGTGCTTGGAAGACCGGGACTTGGTAAGTAGGTTTCATGAGTGGCAGTTCGAAATAAATACTTGTCAGCTCGGTAACCCTCCACATAGGCCTTTACAAACCCCAGACCCCCCCCCAACACAAATCTACACTAAACCTCTGAGCCGTAAACCCGGAATAACCCTGAACCGCTAAGCAAGCCGAGAAACAAGAAGGACATGGTCGACTTGAGGCTGACGTCCTTGGATATGGTTTAGGGTTTCGGGTCTGGGGTTTACACTTTGGCGGTGGTGGGGTGGTGGCGGTGATGATGGCGAGGGCGCCACCGCATCCTCAGAGCCTTCCGAGAACGAAACTCGGATGACGCATGTTCAAGGTTTAAAGCTTTGGGGTTTAAGGTTTCAGCTTTGGCATACATCCGCTGGAACGCAGGAGCAATGGACACATCATCTGCCGGCACTGCTGCACAACTGGCTCGCTCCGTGTCTGCTTGGCTCCAGTATGCTCCAGTTCTAATATCACAGTTTCAGCCTAGCTCTGGACTTCTTTTAATGAAAACTTCGTTCGGAATGTTGCTGGGTTCGGGGTTAGTTCATACCAGTATCAGTATTCGTACTGGACAGTGCTAGTATTGCTTCGTCTGTTCAACAGCTCTCGCAGAACAAGGCCCTTGCAACAAACGAAAGACCAAGTGCAGCCAGAGCATCGGACACCTGAGGGATGCATCTGGGGGTTTCCGAGAATAGGGGACCTTCTTAATTTTTCAGTACCCTAAATGGTAGGAATCTTACGGATCCCATTAAAAGGTACCCCATATTTTCGGAAACTCCCATCTATCTGCCGGCTTGCTCGCTCTCCGATCACCCACTCCCCGGACCCGGGCTCCCCGACGTTGTCTACTTAAACAGGGAAGTGACAGAGAAAAGGGTTTAGGGTTTAGGGTTTAGGGTTGCCCAATTCTGCGAAATATGGTGGGGACTTTATGTGCCTGGTGCCTCTGGGATGAAGGTGCTTTCAAGAAGTCCCCGCAGTGACTCAAGCAGCTTCAGACAGTGGGTGCTGACCGCTTGACAACTCGATCGCGTATCAACAGAAGAACCGGGAGTGTGTCCCTGATACTGTTGATGGTAAGAATCCTGCATTACCCCATAAGGACTCTAAACTATGGGAATTAAAGTAGATTCCCTATTATGGGCAATGCGGGCTTATATCATCAACCGTAGTGCAGTTTCCGTGGACAAGCAGAGGGGAAGAGAGAGAGAGAGAGAGAGACGGACAGAGAACAGGGTGGAGAGAGAAAGACCAGGAAACAAACATGCTCACTTCACCGGCGACCCCCTTTAACATGCTTATTGACTGTAGAGTACTATAGAGCCTTCGACAGCCCTTAGAGGATTTTCTAAAGCCTTCATAGCCGCTAACAGAGCTTTCTAGGAACCCGTAGAGAAGAGCCTGCTCCTTCTCTACGGACCAAAATGCCTCTTACGGGTTCCAAGAGGGATCTGGAGTAGGAATCAAAACTTCAGGCCGCTGAGGTTTGGGTTCTATGAAGCCCCTTGATGGGAAGCATTGGGATTGTGGGTTCATCTTCTGACCATGCTTCCGAGTACAAGGCTTCCAGTTGCAATCTGAGAGACACTGTAAAACCGCTGGCAGGCGTAAGAGCTTGCAAAGCCCCAGCACCCCATCAGCCACACACAAGTGTAGATGATGAACCTGAGCACGGCTTCCCTCAACCCCTAAATCCAAACCAATACAAATTGGGAGTATCATGGCAAAGACTTCAATTCTCTGTACCAGTTGTGTTAGTTAAGGACCGACAGCTCGGAAACCCACCATACTTGCTGAAGGCAGCTACGTTGGAAGAACACAATCCTACGAAAGGCCACAATTCCACACTGCCACTCCAATCAGCTGAGTTGTCGGCTGATGGGGATAAAGGGCCTTAAAGCCTAAGCACTAAACCCTAAACTTTAAACTCTAATTGCACGGTGTTCGGTGGAATGCGCCTTTCCCGACTGGCTCCATATTTTTCCTGCATGCCACCTGTGGGGCTAGAAGATGCCCGCATAAACAGGGCGAACTAGACATTCTTTGAACATGCCCGGCAACCTTCTCCAGTCTGCTGCATTGGGAGGGCGGACGACTTGAGTTCGTCTGGGGCTGAAGGGATTGTGGTAAATTAAGAGTAGTGCACCGCAAACCCTAGGCCTGTGTTCCCTAAAGACCCTGAGAGCTCTAGCCACCAAGAACCCAAAGACGCAAATTAGGTCGTTCGGTTCACAGGCGTCTCGAGACACATAAAGGCATGCAGAGGCACACGCATTCCTTGACGATGATGCTATAGCCCTTGAGAATGGGCTGGTCCGTGTGCCTGCAGCTGCAAGCTTGAATGTCGGTGCGGCGCTCAAGTGCTTTTCCATCATGACGTCCCTCCCCCGAAACATTCAGAAGACTACAATGGGTCAGTTGAGCTTGCCCAAATTAGCATGCCGTGGTACACAATACGCTCTGCCGTGATCACCACGCAGTCCACTATGACGGCGACGTAAGCCACCTGGGCGAACTGCATTCAGTAACTTCGGGTTTGTGTTGCATAGCGTGCAGGATTAGGCTGCGGGTTAATGGATCAAGGTTGGAGATTTGACTGTTGCTGGTGGCGGCCAGCTGGGCAACTCCTCGCGGGCGCGCCTACAACCGAGTAGCATCGAGCTCGTTGCAGCCCAGCGGCGCACCCCAAGATGTTCAAGTACCTTCGAGGAGGACATGTTCCAAAAGCTAGGCCGCGGCGGCAACATGAAATCATCACTGCTGCAGTTTTCTAATTTAGGGTCCTTATTGTAAGGGTGCCGTACTATTTTGGGGACCTAAACGGGACCCTATTTTAGAGAACTACCCAAATGGTTCAGCGACCTACCCCTGTTGATCTGCCACTTGCTCTCCTTCTCTTCCTGATTGGCTCTCTCGCTGTCGTTCTGTCTATGTCTCGCAGGTGCCAAGCAATGCTTGTCCGCAGGTCTTATTTATGTATTTTCATTCGTTGCAGTCGCCCCTCTTTGAATGGGAAACTCCAAGGAAATTCAAATTCAAACCTCGGAGCGTCTTTTGCTGGGCAAGTTGCCAGCCGTACCAAGGATCGGTGATCACGCAGCCGACGAAACACGCCCAGCAGTAAGCTGCAGTACATGCTAATTGCGGGAAGATGCGCTGCAATCCCTGGGCACAGGGCACGGGCCAAACATGAAACTAAGCTTGAAAGCGCTGTGTTCATTCGCGCCATAACACTGCCACCTCAACCGGACCACATGCTCATGTGTTCTGACGCTGCTGAAAACTCCTTCTTGTCCAGCATCTCCCGCCTCACCCCGTCCTACTCACACGCATGCTGACTCGCTCAATGCCTGCACGTCGTGCCAAAACAGCCAAGCGCAGAAGCCTTGTATGGATCTTAAATTCTAAGCTGCTACAAGTACTGCCTTATACTTCTTGCTCCCACCTGCGCAAAGGTGCGGTCATCCAAGATGGGGTAGAAATTCCTGCGGCGAGCTTTCCGACTAGTAAGAACTCCGGGTCTGTTGTGGTCATGAGGTCAAGTCGTGCTGAGCACAAGCCCTCACAAACATTACTGCTGGTCATGGGCCCACGAAGTTTTCGATAACATGGGACTAAGAGTGCCACTACATTTTACAAGCCAAGGAGCATGATCAGAAGAGTTGGTATAGCAAATGTCCACCCCGTCCAACGCGGCAGGTAGATCGGCCGCCGATCGTAGCCACGCATGTTTTGCCAGGCCAGCTCTGTACCGTTGGAAAGCATGGAATAATACGTGATTTTGATGCAGAACTCCCAGATGGACACGCGGGCCATGATCAGGGCGCGCAATCGAGGCCGCGGCTTCGAGAACTCCACAATATGAAACAGCGCCAGAAGTCCTGGAAGTGGACATGCATAATTTTGGTAAGACCCTTCCGACCCTCAAACCTCGAGTCATTGCAGGAGCCGTCACCCCACACTTCGCACTCATGGTGTCAAGTGTTTTTGGACAGTAACCCGGCGGCAGTCCGAGGGGAACAATGAGAACGTAGCGTGTTGTACGGAATATGTCGATTTCGTCCTGGTGCGGATTCTCTTTCAGACCGCGGCATCTTCGGAAGCAGAAGGACAACTTGAACATGTGCTGAAATTCTGCAGACCGCATCACTTGCAAAGTTTCAACAATACCACTAGCAACGCGCCTGGCTCGGGTTGAAAATGCGTGGGCCAGTGCGGAAACAGAGATGTCCAAGCACGCTTCCCCAGATTTGGGCATACGTGAATCTCCTGCAGCTGTTCGGGTTCCTTCATTGGTTCCCTTGCGGGATCCTTGAGAGCTTCCATAGATAACAATCCAGCTTGATAATGGAGTTTAACTGCTTCCCTTATTGGATTCTTGTCATGCGTCCAGGACGCGGGTTTGGAGTGGTTTAGGGGCATCTTGGACACATCAGAACTGTTGAAAAACGGATGCCTTACTGGAGAACCTAATTCTTGGAAACATTGTCGCTGTTCTAAAACTATCCAACAAATATTCCAGTAGATATTCCAGTATCTACAGACCCTACGTTATGTGAGGAACCGCTCAAGGCGGGATGGTGTAAGGGCTGCAGCACCAAAATCTGCTACATGCGGCCGAAATACATACACCATCTTGCAGTGCCCGGCCAGGACTCCCAGCATGCCTGGCCACACAACAAACCAAAAACTTGTTTTCGCCAGTATCTTGGAAGCCCTACGACCCTAAACCCTAAACCCCGTGGCCCTTCTTGCAGCAGGCTCCTCTCGCCAGGAACTGCCGGCCAAACCCTAAACCCCAAACCCTTCAGGTGGCCGGCCTCATAATATCCGGTAATCCGGCTCATGGCAGGACCAACCTGTCACGGAAGCAGACTCGCGAGGATTGTATGTTCACATTGGTCCTGCGAAGGACCAACGATTCCTGGTTTCAAAATCCTGCACGTGTAGTAATGGTCTTCCCTGGTACCCTTCTGAAAGTTTTCCGCGCATGATGCTTTAGCTTGAAGTACTGTGTTTTTGTTCAGCGGACGTTTGCGCCTGAGACATGCTACTCCGTCGTCGCACGGTCCCGGCTTGGGGCCGCAGTCACAAGCGGCTGGGCCCTTCGTTGGTGGCTAGGTCGAGCACACGGTCCAGCGCTACACCGTGGTTCCCGGGGTGGTTCCTCCCGGCTGTAGCTGTTCAATGGGTTTTGAAGTGCGCGCCCACCAGCTGCACCCGCGGTGCTGCCGCGACGGCGACGGGGCACACGGACAGAAGTGAGTGGCGACACCAACGTTGTGTCAACAGCAAGCTGGGAGCCACCCCACAACGGCAAACCATAGGCGATGACCTCGATGCGACGCTCATCATGTCTGGAAGCATCGAATACCCGGTCCGTAGCCATTCTGGCCCAAGCCATTTGGCTCAAGAAACTCGCGGGGTCAAGTGCCAGGCTCAAGCTCTTGCCGCCCCTTCGGCGTGGTGGCGTAGTGCTTTCCCGCCAGACGCGCGGGTTGCCATGGACTAGCTGACTCGTTGTTGCCCACCCTTCCCGGAAGTCCCCTTTTCACACGCCCGAGATGTGGCCGGCAGGCCGGCGCCACCGTCCCGTGCCGGGACGTTTACGCCAGTCAGTCCCTGGTCCATGCGCACCGCCTGGCATTGTGGGCATCCTTTGCGGCCGCCAGCCTCTTGCATGGAGTGGGCGGTCGTCATGGATGCAAAAGGGACCGGCAACAACAGTGGCAAGCGCGCAGGCAATGACAGATGGCCGCCGGCATCGCACCCGTGGCCAAGCTTCTTTATTTCTGCCGGTGGCCGTAGCAGCATTGGCCGCAAAGGACCACTACATGGCCGCAAACTCGCAAGAAGCATTGCTTGTGTTTGTTGGCGGGTGCGAGCGCACCGGAGGCAGGCTCTGAAGGTGACATCCGGCAACGGACTGGCCGAAAAAAACCACCCATGTTCACGCACCTCGGCGAAATGTCCACAGCGGCTATGGCTCCCACGGCTGCCCCTTAGCACCGGCCACTGTTGAGACGCTCCAGGCTCTCCGGGACCACCCCGTGCCCGGACCGCCGCAAGCGCAGGTGCCTTTTCCAAGTTTCGACCCCCGGGCGGTTGATCCAACTCAGGTCTGTAAAGCAGGCTTGCTGACTAACTTGCGCAGAGCCCGAGGGGGAGAAGCAGTGACCCTGTCAATGTGTGATCATGATCCGCCAGCTGACCTAGCTCCCGATTTTGCGACTGATCCGTAAGCTGCAGTGTTCCTTGTATATACGTGCGGCTGCAATGTTTGCGGGCGTCTGCTGGTTTGCCCAATGAGGAGCCATTGGTCCCAGAGATTATGAACCAAAATTGGAAATGGCGAAACGGTAACGAGGATGAAGTGTGATGGAACAAGACTCGCGAGGATAACGTGGCATGTCGTCCCTGCGCACGGGCCCTGCAAACCTGAACATCACACGGCACACCTGCAGTAAAAGTTGTAGTACTCGTCGTCGTCGTCGCCGTGGCAGTAGTAGTAGTAGTAGTAGTAGTGGTGGTAGTAGTAGTAGTAGTAGTAGTAGTAATAGAAATAGTAGTAGTAATAGTAGTAGTAGTGGTAGTAGTAGTAGTAGTAATAGAAGTAGTCGTGGTAGTAGTAGTAGTAGTGGTGGTGGTTTTAGTAGTAGTAGTAGTAGTAGTAGTAGTAGTAGTAATAGTAGTAGTAGTCGTCGTCGTCGTAGTAGTAGTAGTAGTAATGATAGTAATAGTAGTAGTAGTAGTAATAATAATAATAGTAGTAGTAGTAGTAGCAATAGCAATAGCAGTAGCAGTAGCAGTAGCAGTAGCAATAGCAGTAGCAGTACTAGTACTAGTACTAGTACTAGTACT